CTTCCGATCGACGTTACAGAAATCATGGAGAACCACCATGCATGCATCATCCAAGGGATCTACTACATCACGGGCCTTCCTTTTTCATCCATTGTAAATAAGTGCTCTTTACTATTTTCCTCATCAGATGTCCTGTCTGTTAGCGTTATGTGGTTTATACGTGAAAGGATACGATGTAAGTAATAATAAGTAGAAAATACAAGTGAGAAGAGTACGGAAACCCTTCCATATCTCTTGTCTTCTTCTTCGTTTCTATACCTAAAGTCTCAAATATCTCTATTTTTAATGCAAAAAAAGTAAGAAAAGAAGGGAAAAAAACACACTTTGGCGGCTCCATTTTTTTTTTTATAATCCGAAAATTTAATCGATCTTTCGACCCAAGTATATCTATCAAAAGATGGAAAAAATTCACCTATATGTGAGGAAAAATGGATAATTTTTCACTTTTCCTTGTGTATTTTCCTTTTTTGGGTTATATGTTCGTGCAAGAACCTTCATGGACGAACATGGCCGAGGAAATGCGCACCTGTCCCAGATTTCCGCGTCCCTGTCCGAGGATTTGCGCACGTGTCCGAGAAAACCGCGTCCTGTCCGAAGATTTCCACTCCTGTCCGAGACACGTGCTCGCACACCTGTCCGAGACACGTGCTCGCACACGTCCGAGGAATTGCGCACGCGTCCGAGGAATTGCGCATGTGCTCGAGGATCTTCGGACAGCCCTCCGAGAAACACGAACCAGCGAGGTTCTCGGGCCAGACCGAGGGACATGGACTGCGGGACGGACCAGACGACCGGCAAACACGGACATCCGTGTTTCACGGATGTCCAAAAATGTCGGACGTCCGAGAAACCCGCTACTGTCCGAGAAACCTCGGTCCTGTCCGAGAAACCCTTGCGGGCGTGTCCGAGAAACTTCAGCACGGGACAACTCAGGCCACGAACCTTGGACCAAGCTCAGACCACCTCGGCCATCTCCCAGCACACCTCCAGCTCGGCCCCAAGCCACGGACAAGCCCAAGCCACGTCAGATTCAGCCCATGACCAAGAATGGCCGAAATCCATGGTCTTGGTCCATGACAAGTTCATGGACGAGTCTAATGGTTTTCTCATGGCCATCTCTTGGCCCAAGGGTCCACTCTCTTCCTTAGTTGACTAGGTCTAGGTTAGTTTGAATTTGAATTTGAATTTGAATTTGAATGAGGATCTTGATGAGGGAATCATGGGAACCATTGTTGATCTCCTAAGAGGGTTTCGGCCTTAATAAAATGAGCTCGCCGGCCCCTTAGAGAGATCAGATCGGAAACCCCCACATTCTCATCTTCTCGCGTCCTCCTTCTCTTTTCTTTGTCGTCGGCTCGCTTTGTGGATGATCTTCGGTGGCTTACAAACCGCCGTCGTCTCTCCTCCTTTGTTCCGAGCCGCCGTCGTTCTCTTGTACCTCCTTTCGATTATTAATAAACCAAGTCGTACCGTGGCCTTCTCCTCTTTGGTTCTCTCGGATCTCTCCTCCTCTTTCCCCTTTTCTCTTCGGTTATATACCACTTGTTAGGCTTAGTCGACCCTTGTTGGGTTCTCTCACGTCCCACTTGGTCGATTGCCGCACGGATTGAGTATTCTCACACAAGCCCGTGACATTTAGTATCAGAGCCTAGTTCGCTCTCAAACGGACCAGCTCTTGATCGCTTCCGCTACGTCATCACTCACCGAGAATCCGAGAAACCTAGGAGAACACCGAGACATGTCGGGTTCAGGAGAGAACATTCCTCACGCACAGGAGCACGCCTCCGAGGCTGAGAGTGGACGTGATCGTGGAGCCACCCGCGACCCCATCATCACGAGATCTCGATCTCACTCAACCGAGACCAATCCGCCAACCGTGGAGATCCGTCTACGCACGTTGGAGGATTCGGAGGTTGAGCAAGACACACGTATGGACAAACTTGAGCAGGAGATCTCCGTTTTAGGGGAATCCACCAAGCACGTCCTTGATAACCTTGATCGGAAAATCCAAGCCGATCGAGACATCAACGAGGAACAATTCCGGCTCATACGCGAAACGTATGACCGCGAGGTAACTAGCTTACGTGTTTTGGTTAACGAGCTTACTCATGAGTGTAGATCACTTCGGGAGATGGTGCAACGAGCACCAAATGGAGACCTCGACCGCACACCAAGGGAGCAAGTTGTCCGAGCACCCGAGCCTACCCCTTACAATGGGGCTCGGAGCTCCGCTGCTTGGAGTCCTTTCTCTTCGGCATGGAGCAGTATTTCGACAATGGAGGGATCTCGGGGGAACAAATCAAGATCAAAGGCGCATCCATCTATCTCCGAGACCTCGCCCAATTGTGGTGGAGACGAACCTTGTTGGACCAAGAGCGACCAATCGTGACTTGGGACCAATTCAAGGTTGCTCTCTACAACCAATTCGTGCCCACGAATGCACGAGATGAGATCCGAACTAGGTTTTGGCGTCTTCGTCAAACAGGGAGTATCGCCGACTACATACATGTTTTTCCGCTTTACTCTTAGAGCTAGGTGATGTTTCTGACCAAGATGCCTTGTTCCATTTCAAAGATGGTCTTAAGGATTTTGCTAGGTTGGAGGTTAATCTTCGGGAAGCTAAAACACTCAACGTTGCCATAGCAATTGTGGAGAGCCTCACGGATTACTCCGCAAACCGACCAAACCAACACTCACGGCCGAAGGATGGGAACAAGTCACGTTGACACCAATCCAACCAAGGACAACCTCGGACCGACAAACCCAACTCCGGAAACAGTGGCGGACAACCGAAGAAGAGACTTCCTCCTAGTCCGTGCTACTTGTGCCAAGGACCTCATTGGGTCCGAGATTGTCCCAAACAAAAGAAGATGAACGATGTGGCCAAGCAAACCGAGAAGGACAAGGGCAAAGGCGTGGAGTGAAGAACTCAGACTGCTTCCTTGCAACAGTCCGCGAGCTCAACAACTCGGACGAGACGGATACTCCGGATCAACCCGCGATCCCGAGAGAGGTACGTAATGTCCTTAATGAGTTTGTTGATGTGATGCCAGAGGAGCTACCCAAGAAGCTACCTCCGAGACGTGGAATTGACCACGCCATTGAGCTTGCTCCCGGAGCAAAGCAACCGGCGATGGCCCCTTACCGAATGGCGCCACCCGAGTTGGCCGAACTCAAGAGACAACTCGAGGACCTCCTAGACGCTGGGTACATTCAGCCCTCCAAGGCGCCCTATGGAGCTCCCGTTCTTTTCCAAAAGAAGAAGGACGGATCCTTGCAAATGTGCATAGACTACCGCGCACTCAACAAGGTAACCGTTAAGAACAAGTATCCTATTCCTTTGATTGCTGACTTCTTTGACCAGCTCAAGGATGCACAGATCTTTTCCAAGCTCGACTTGAGGTCGGGTTATTACCAAATGCGCATTGCTGAAGGAGACGAGCCAAAAACCGCTTGCATTACGAGGTATGGGTCGTTCGAATTCAAGGTAATGCCCTGCGGTCTTACCAATGCACCGACAACCTTTTGCACTATGATGAACCAGATTTTCCATGATTATCTTGACAAGTTCGTTGTAGTGTACTTGGACAACATTGTCGTGTATAGTTCTTGTTTGAATGAGCATGTAGGGCATCTTCGAACCGTATTGAAGATCCTCCGAGACAACGAGCTGTACATCAAACTCGAAAAGTGCTGTTTTGCACAACCCGAGGTCGAGTTCTTGGGTCACTACGTCAAAGACGGACAGTTGCTCATGGACCCGAAGAAGATCAAGGCAATTGCTGAGTGGACCGTACCTAGGACCTTGCCACAACTTCGGTCCTTCTTCGGTCTAGTCAACTACTATCGGAGATTCATTCTTGGATACTCCTCCATAGCCGCCCCACTCTCGGATATGCTCAAGAAGGACTGCAAGTGGAAGTGGTCTGACCAATGCCAAATGGCATTCGACAAGCTCCGGACCTTAGTGTCCGAGGAGCCCATCATGGCCTTACCCGACATAGGTAAGCCTTTTGAGGTACATTCCGATGCTTCCGATTTTTCGATTGATGGAGTTTTGATGCAGGAAGATCACCCCATAGCATAGAAAGCCGGAAACTCAATGATGCCGAGAAAAGGTACACGGTCCAAGAGAAGGAAATGACCGCCATTGTCCATTGCCTCCGGACATGGCGCCATTACCTCCTCAGATCAACATTCATCATCAAGACGGATAATGTGGCGACTAGCTATTTCAAAACATAGAAAAAGCTAAGTCCCAAGCAAGCTCGGTGGCAAGACTTCCTAGCCGAGTTCGATTACAAAATGGAGTATAAACCGGGTAAAGCAAACGTCGTGGCCGACGCCCTTTCTCGCAAACCCGAATTTGCTTCACTAACAGGAAGTGTGCCTAGGACCGACTTTACCGATCGGATCCGACAGGCCATGACCCAAGACCCCGCAGCCAAGCATCTCTTGGATCTTGTCTGAAACCACCAAACCCAAAAATTTTGGGAGAGGGATGGGGTTGTTTACTCTCGTGGATGTAGGTTGTACGTACGTACCTAAGGGTGAAGCCCTTCGACGAGCTATCCTAAAGGAGTCACACGACTCGAATTGGGCAGGCCATCCCGGGGAGAAACGCACGCTAGCTCTCTTGGCCGAGAACTATAATTGGCCCAAGATGAAGAATGATGTCGAGGCTTACGTCGAGACATGTCTTGTTTGCCAACAAGACAAGGTGGAACAAAGGCTGCCCGCGGGATTGCTCAAGCCCCTTCCCATAACCGACCACCCTTGGCAATCGGTATCAATGGACTTCATTGTTAAGTTACCTAAAGCTAACGGTTTTGGTTCGATATTTGTGATCGTGGACAGGTTTAGTAAGTATGCAACTTTCATTCCCGTCACCACGGAATGCCCTGCTCAGGAGGCTGCTCAAGCGTTCTTTAAGCACATTGTGAAGTATTGGGGGTACTTCGATCCATTATATCCGACCGAGACGGAAGATTCACAAGTAAATTTTGGCATGAGCTATTCAAGCTCATGGGGACCGAGTTGAGGTTCTCCACCGCCTTCCATTCCGAAACCACGGCCAAATCGAGAGGATCAATGCTCTCTTGGAACTCTATTTGAGACATTATGTGAGTGCCCAACAAAAAGATTGGGACAAATACCTCGACATGGCCCAATTCTCCCATAACCTTCAAAAGAGTGAATCCATCGGCAAATCACCCTTCGAAGTGGTCATGGGACGCC